ATTCTGCCCTTCCCCCACATCCTGTCATACCCCAGAGCATGTCACAAGGAATTAACGGCTGAAAAGGCCTGGGAGAGGCTGCTCCTCTGGAACAGTCTCTGCTTTCTGTGACCGAGGTGGCCCCCTCTGTGTGCCCCTTTTGTGTCCCATCCAATTCCCCTCCCCCTGACCATTCAGTCCATGCCAGAGGAGAGACGAGCGACCCTGAGCCTTCCCCAGCCCTCTTCCAGCATCGCTGCCTGATGCCATCCCTGCTGCAGCTGGGGGGCTTCCCCGTGCACAGCCGGGGCTCCGGGACGAGCCTGAATCCCTGCCACAGAGCTCCCGGTTCTGCTGGCTTCTTGGCGGCGAGAGGGAGGAGGTTTGTGCTGCTGTACTTGCTGCTGGAGGGTTTTCCTTCTCTCCCGTCTCCGTGCATCTCTGACAGCATCGCCTGCTCTCGCTCCCAGTCCTCCTTCCCACAATTCACATACAATCTCCTCAGAATAGGGATGATGTCACTTCCTTCCAGAGGGTGCCGGGGGTGTGAAAAGGGGGGAGTCACGACCCCTGGCTCCGTGGCTTTCAGCAGCCCTGATGAATAAATGAGGTTGCTGTCTTGGAGGGAGGGAGTTGCTCTGAAGATGATGCCCGGGCTCTGTCGGCAGGCAGTCACCACGCTGTCCTTCCCTTTGCCGAGTGGGATTTTCAATGGCTGCAAGAAGAGTTTGCTGTTCCCTCCTTTGCTTGTGATGTCTTTCTCTGTGGATATGCACTTTTCCTGAAATACCCTTACGGGAGAGAAGAATGTGCAGCAGCTGGACCACATGCCATGTAAGATTTGTGCTTCCATAGATCTTTCTCTGATCTGAGGGGTCACGGTTTCTGGACTTCTTGCACACAAAGCTTGTGCCTGCATGTGCTTCTCCCTAATTTCAGTGTTGGGAGCTTGGGGCTTCTTGTGCTGGGGTTCAGGTTTCAGGGTCCTGGGGATTTTTCACTCTTTACAGCAATTTTAGGGGCAGTGCCAAGGGGTTCTTGGTGTAACAAAACTAGGGTCAGTGGTTTCAGGGCTGTTTGCACTCTGACCTTCCACTTTTCCTCCCAGTTTCTCTGCTAGATCATATCTTCATCTTAAAATGTAATTCCTGGGATCTGCTACCCTGGGATGAAGCCAAAGAGTCTTCATGCTCAGAGCTTTACTTTTTTTTTGGGGGGGCTTTACAGTCTCAGGCCTTCTATCATTTCCCTCTTTTCCAAACTAGGGGTAAGGCCCCAGACCTCGTAACCTCATAGTTTCAATTTTCAATAGACAATCTTTGCAAATTAATTGAGACTCGTTCTGCGGTGCACCGGGAGCCTGGTAAGCATAGAGCTAGGAGTGACAGTCCCACAGTGAGTATTCTCGTGTGCAACAGCAAGTGACGGGCTGCTCTGCTCTGTCCCCGTCCGTTGCTGTGGATGAGGAATTCACGTTAGATGTTTGCTGCTCTTGCCGATACCCTGCCTCTTAAACTGGCAGAGGGTGGCGAAAGCAGGCAGAGCACAACTGCTTGCGTCTGGAGAGGTGGAAGAATTGTGGAAAGTGCGTTGGCGGGATGCAGCCGTAAGCCGAGGGATGATGGGAACTGAGGTTTGAGCTCAGCTGGGAGGTGCTGCGGTGGCCGGAGGCAGAGTGAGCAAGCTGGAAAGTGTGTCCACATACACTGAGCAGGGTTAGCAATATTCAAGGTATAAGTGCTTCGTACGGGTGGCGTGTGACAGGCAGGCGGGTTATTCACGGCAAGGCTAGAAGAAGTTGCCAGATGGCCAGAGGAGCGAGCAGTTTGAAGGTAGAGCTGCAATGTACTGAGTGCTCTGATTATTATGTGCTAAGGAAGTGTGAATCCAAATGGTGTTGTAGTTTCGCATTTGCTTTGTTTGGGGAATAGAGCATTTCTTTCACCCGAGTAACGTACTGGAAGTGTGTCAGCCTGTTAACGATGGAATCTCCTGGAAAGTGTGAAAGATCTGTATAGGTTTTCAATAGTCGATGACTGAAATGGGTAGGATGGTCTAGCCCATCAGCCGTGGGTGTCGGTACAGGAGGGGAGACCCCTCTCTACTGGGGCACAGTAGGAAAGTGATGTGGTAACCACACCTGACTGGCAAACAGGTTTTGGTAGGACGAGGCAGCTTCTGTTACTGCAGCAGTCGGTGCTGTGACACAGTCTGTAGTCTGTCACAAAACCAATACTTGTGTCACTTTGAAGGTTCAAATTAGTTTAAATGCGATTGTGTCCCTCCTCCCTTTTTTCCACCCAGAGCACTAAATTAGAGACATCATATACAAGTTTAATTATTTTTTTTTGCCTGGTGCCTGAGGTATGGCAGATGATATTCCCTCTGAAATGCTGTTGGAAATCCTGATTACATCATAAGTAACAAATGTGGACACTTTCATTTTTGCCTCTGTGAACCTAGCAGCAAATTACCAGATCAGTACAAAGAGTGGTCATTACTTTGGAGGTGCAGCTTCGGAGCGACGTGGTCACCGCAGATCACGGATGGAGTGCATGAATGCGGAGATTGGGAGGTTAGTGGGGTTAGAAGTGCTGTGATTTGAGACTGGGATGCATCAGTTGGGAGAACGTGGCACTCTTGAGATGGTGGCTCGGAGCGGAGAGACCCAGGCCAACGCGTGGTGTCCCCTGGGTTTAGGGTGCGGAAGAGAGGAACAGGAATGATTCCTGCGGTCGGGAGATCACTGGTGGCCGTGGGCAGTCGGCATAGACATGATCTCAGAAACCAAAGGTTGCCAAAACCAAACAGAAGTCACAGTTGAAGTGTGTGGTACAAGAAATGCAGAAGGGGTGCGCTGCAGGAAGGGAACTGAGCCACTCTGAGGTGGTGGACTTGGACTGGAGCAGGCTGGAGTGTGTACAGCAGAACTGAAATGGTGTGGGAGAGCTGTGTTGGGAGGAGGTGTCTGGATAGCCCTGTGGAGTCTTGTGACTTATACCACTGCTGTTTCTTTTTATAAAGGGTTTGTGAGGCTTTAAAAATAGGAGTACAAACAAAATGTAGGGAGGAACAGCCAGCCCCTCAATCATTGACCTTTTAATTGTTAGTGCCTGTCAGAACCAGCATGAACACAAAGGAGATGTGGAGCTGGCAGGGTGCTTCTCTGCAACTGATGGTTGACTGAGAGATCTCCTAGGAGCTTGCTCTCTCGGCTGTAAGTGCTTGCTGTTGGGAGCCAGTCGATAGCTTTCCCAGATGCTGCCACTAACTGCTAATGGGTATTTTGGCTTGCAGAGCCAAGTGAGGGAGGGAACTGTTGGGACAACAAGAGGAGAGGCTGGCAGCAGGTGTGCTGGTGGAAGAACATGGTAATAGGGCCTTCTTTAGAGTTGAGGTCAGTATAACCTGTCCAAAGCACCCCATGGTGACTGCTTACTAACATACAGCCCTAACAGGATTCCAAGTAATCTTGTGAAGTGGAGCTGGGCGAGTGGTGATTATGTTCAGTGAATTACACACCTGCTTCACCTAATGCTTCGCACTCTTTAAACTGTATATTCCTCTCCTGTGCTCTCCTTCTTGAACATGCCATGCCCCCTGGTGCTGGAAGGAAGAAGCTCTGCCATCTTTGTTGTAAAATAGGGTAGCTCTCAGGTGCGGCCCTTCTGCTGGTCTGGGCTTGTAGGGCTCTCCTGAGGCGGTTGAAGAGGGTCAGCAGCATCTTTGATTCTGTTCTTTTCCAGGAGGTGAGTGTCGTGCCTACTGAACTTCCTCAGACCCACTAGCCATGCCAGGGATTGTCGTGTTCCGCCGTCGCTGGTCTGTAGGCAGCGATGACCTGGTTTTGCCAGCCGTCTTCCTCTTCCTCCTGCATACCACCTGGTAAGTGAGAAAGGCAGAATGATGGTTTGAATTCTCCCATGAATTCTTTTTTTGCTATTCCTGTTTCTTGCAGCTGTAATTCTTCCTGCGCTTATACATGCAGCTGGAAGGTTTGTTTGGGGCATTTCTGACAGAGACCAACCTATTTCCAGCTTCTGGTTCTTTGGATAAGTTCTAGCTCTAGTTCCAAAGAGGGAGCTCCCTGCATCCTCCAGTGCTACCCAAGGTTGTCCACTGGAGTTTGGGGCTGTGTTTCTGTACAGGGGCTCAGGAAAAACAATTGGAGTGGCAGATCCCATGGGATAATGTGACTTGCCACAGATATCACATTGTTCTGACTGGGGTAGCAGGGCCTCTGGATGGCTTGTGGGGAGGAGATTTCCAGAACAAATTAGTATTAATTGTAAGCAGCTACAGGGGACACTTAGGATCCTTGGTAGCTTTGTGAGGAGAGCAGGTGTGGGGTATTACATGCAGCTTTCTTTGGCTTACTGCTGGTAACAAGCTGGTTTGTGACTGGCAGGTTTGTGATCCTCTCTGTGGTGCTCTTTGGGCTGGTGTACAACCCCAACGAGACCTGCTCGCTTAACCTGGTGGACCACGGCAGAGGCTACCTGGGCATCCTGATCAGTTGTATGATCGCAGAGGTGGCAATCATCTGGCTCAGCATGCGAGGCAGTATCCTGTACACAGAGCCCCGGGACTCGATGCAGTATGTGCTCTATGTCAGACTGGGTAAGAGGCAGCGGCCTGAGGCCTCCTAATGACTCAGCCTCCACACTGCCATCTGCTAGCGCAGAAGACTTCTCTCCCCACACCCTGACAAACACACAGCTTCTGAAAGACATCCAGATGGCCACTTGTATGTGATATGCATCTGAATACATCACATATACTGCACCCTGTCATTGCTGTAAGACTCTCATGCAATGCCCCAAATATCTTTCTAGCAAACCTTTAACTTGTCATCCTCATTGCGATGCAGGTACATCCTTTTCCTCTAACAAAATATGCTCCCCTTCTGTCTCGCAGCACAGATCTGCCACAGTGAGATGCATCTACACCTTTCCCTCACCTCTTTTCCACGCGTTTTCCCATGATATAGGCATATGTCTGTGTAAATCATGGCAGTTCTTGCCCTGAGGCACGTGCATGTCCTTGCCTGTCATGCAGACACTGAAGTCTACACCCACCTACCTCAAGACATACTCGACCTCTTGACTCACATGTGATGCATCTCTCCATCCAGCACAACCTGCACTTTGATACTCTACCTCCGGGCACCATGAGATAAATAGGTTTCCCACCTGCTCACTGGTTGAATCCTCTCTCTTAGAGTGCATATTTGTCTTCCTAAAAACATTTCCTCTCCTCTCATTTCACCCAAGAACTAGATCAGAAAAGAAATTTTTCCTTGATCTCTCATTCAGGGCTTCCTTTTTAGCTTGCTTTCCCTCCTCTGTTCCATTGTCTTTCAGGTACAGAAATTTGATCAGATTTTTCTGTGCCAAGTGAAGATTTTAAGAGAAAAAAAAATCTTTTTTGGAGATGTGGAGTCAAGCTCATTCCAAACAAAGCATCTTATGTTTTTGCATCTCTCTTTTTCCTGCGTTGTTTTCATGCAAAATTGGCTAAAATATGGGTAACCTTGCTGGGAAAGCTCTGTCTGGGAGATATTTCAGCCTTTGAGAGCTAAGTGCAAATCATTAACATGAATAGCAAACAAATCTTTCTCTCCAGTTTCCCAGGCACGCTGCAGTCTCCCTAGGGAAGCGCATAGAGCCTGACAGTTTGGGTAACATGGTGTTAAAACCAGACTAAATGGGGCAAAGGAGGTAGAGGGACTCCAAAAAGCCATTTTGCTGCCCAAGAAACATCCACTTTTCTTCCTTGTCTGCCTTAAACCACTCCATGTGTTCAGGATCTGTATTAACACTGTATCTTGGCTCTTGTATATCCTTGTTTTGCGAGGCTTTTTACTCCTAATGGCTTCATCAGTTTTGGTGGTAGAAATAGGAGTGTGACCGTTGTGTGGGCAAGGTCTGTGTGACTGTCCCATTTTGAGCACGTGCTCTTTAGTGCATATGAATCTAGGGACAGAGTTCTCAGCCCTGCTACTGCTGCTCCTGTCTTGCAGCTGGTAATCTGAGGGGGGACGAGTCAAAATAGGCAAAGCCTAGCTCAGTTTAAGAACATCAGCTGGTCTAGGCTTGCTTCCTTGCCCACTGCTGTTGAAAACTATTTAGTATGTGGCTCTTTGAACTTGTCTCTCCAGGCTGGTGAGAGTCTGTAGTAAGCCACTTAGGGGAGGGTGGGTGGTTAGTCAGCTAGGCTGGAACTTGAGTTCGGTCTCAGTTCCACCAAAGGTTTGTTAGGCATTGCTAAGATAGCTCTTTGCCCTCTCCATACCTGATTGCCCACTTGTACTTTGGGGTTGTAACGTGTAAAGAAAAGGTGAGGGCACTTCAGAACAGTGTTTCCCAACTTTTTTTTTTTTCTGGGGAGTCACTGTCAACCACCAGTTTTTTGTTCATTACCACAGTAATGTAAAACTGAGGAGCCAGTAAATGTCTCCTTAAGGACTGTGTCCTGGGAACGATTACTGGAAGGACTGCAAAGGGTGGAGGTGTGAGAACATTTGCTAAGTGTAGTAAGCAGGATTAATCCTGGCTACACACTACTATTTATTTCATATCTTTGAATCAGGTCAGCTGTCTGAGGTGGTTAAGGGCTTGGTGCTGTTACATGGTGATTCTTGTTACTTAAGGGCATCTTTCCACTGTGGTGGGCGGAAGGTACGGCTATCTGATTTACACCTCTGAAACAGCCAAGGGCACCCACAGCTCTGTGTGCATGTGCTGCTTGTGTCATTTAAGAGTAGCTAGTATTAGGGACACATTACATTTTTGCTTCATTTTCTTGAATATCACTTTCCAAAACATTGGGGCCCAATCCTGCAGTCATTTATTCTGTGCAACTGTCCTGCTAAAGAACCTGTCTTTGGGTTTCCTCTCCAGAAGACGAGGAGAGGCGGTTGTTAAATCCTTAGAGAGATGCTGCTACTATCTATTGTGTTCCTTTTTGTTTCAGCTATCTTGGTGATTGAGTTTGTGTATGCTATTGTGGGCATCGTTTGGCTAACGCAGTACTACGCTTCCTGCAATGATATCACAGCAAAGAGTGTCACTTTGGGTATGTATTTGGAATGTGGTTTGTGTGCATTCCTGTGTATGCGCAGATATCCTCTTGCCTTGGAGAGCTAATTCATTCGTGCATGTGGGGATTGACTGTTGGAAGTGGATTGTAGCTGTAAATGTGGTGCTTGTTTTCCTGAGACATTATTGCTCGGAACAGTTGTTCTATTCATTTGTTTGTGCTGTCTGCACTGAGGCAAGAATTCATGTTCCCATGGAAGGGTCTGGCTGGGGAGTCTGTAAGACCTGGTTCCCCTTCTTCAGTTCAAAATAGCTTTACTGTTTTCCTGGAACTCATTTCCAGTCTCCTGGTGGGGGTGATGCTAATGTTGCAGTCCCCCTAGATACTCAGTGAGTATTTAATGGCCTTCTGCATGGGCAATCTCCTAAAACGGCTGGAAAACCTAGCTGTGGTTTAGATACCTTTCCAGAGGATTTCCTTTTGCTGCAGTTGGCTGCAAGAGTATTTGGGGTAACTGTCTGCCCTGCAGCAACGGAGAGGTGGGTCTGATGTGTGTGGCAAAAAGCAGGAAGTGATGCTGCCAAGATTTATGGGCAGAGCCACCGACTTCTCTTCTTCCTTGGCAGGAATGGTGGTGTGCAACTGGGTTGTCATCCTGAGCGTCTGCATCACTGTCCTGTGCGTCTTCGACCCGACAGGCCGGACCTTTGTCAAACTGCGTGCCACGAAGCGGAGACAGCGCAACCTGAGGACATACAACCTGCGGTAAAGAAGCATTTCTGGAAGGGTGCCCTTTTTTTTTTTTTTTTTTGTTCTTGACATTCTCCTTGCCTTGCTCGAGGGACCATTCAGCTTCAGGCGTTGTTTCCCTTTGCTGGCGATGGGTGATTTTTTGGAAGAATGTAGCTCAGACTGTCAGGTGCTGTGTGTGGGCATCGGTAGCCAAAGGAGGCGAAGCAACGCAGTATCTGCCTGGATTGTGCGTTAGTCACTGGATTTGTGAATTATTCTGAGCCCCTTGAGCCGGTGCTGACCACACAGCTTGTTTGTCTGTCCTGTAGCTGCGTTTTGCCTGGTAACAGTGAAGCAGCGCTTAGATTTCGCTTAGGTTGAGGCAGCATCTTCTTCCAAATCTCCTTTCTTCCTTTATTTTTGTCTTCAAAATGTGACCTTTTGGCCTGAGATTTCTTGTTGTCTTGGTCTTGGCCAAGAAGCAATTTCTTTTCTATTGGCAGTCAGATCTTTTAATTAAGAATTGATTGCATCTTTGAGCTGCCCAGATGGGCATATGAAAGCTTTTTTCACCAAGCAGGGCATTTCTCAGAAGTTTGTTTTTTCCAGTAGCAGGACAACACAAACAGGCTTTGTTTTCTTATGCAGTCTTGACATATGTAACTGTCAGCATGGAATGTGGCTTTGTAGGACTTGAGGGCATTAGGTTTTGAATGCTAAAAAATGAAGCATTTTAAATAATGCTCTGCAAATTTTGCATTTCTCATTGGGAATCTATATTCAGGAGGGTGTTTTGAATCCATGCTCTTCCAATGTCTGGAAATGGGATCTGTCAGATTGTCTTTTGAGGAAAACCCCAGACTTTTCTAAGGATCATGTAGCAAGTTTAGTTTGAAGGAGCTACTTTTTAATATTGCAGAATGCAGGACATTCTTCCTAACCTTTCCAATATGTTTGTAACACTAGCCTTGAGTATTTGGCGTTAGTGCCTCGTTAATCTAATGGGTGCCATTATTACCTTGTGATCAGGACGTTCCCAGGGAGATGGGGACGAGAAGCTGTGTGATGCTCCTGTGGATCCAGTACCCCACACTACTTCAAAGCTGTTTGGCTCAATACAATATATTTCTGAAGGGAAACCGAGTGCCACAGATTGCAAAGTTTAGGGTTTGGTTTTGTTGTTTTTTTTGCCAGAGAACTTAATTTTGGGGTTTGTTTTGATTTACTTTTCTCTCCTGTGGGGAGTTTCGAGATCCCAAACAACTGAGTGAAGGTATTTGTCCCTTGGGTCATGGCCAGGTTTTTCCCTCCAGGCCCGTAACATTTTTTGAGAGCTTGTGCCTGCTGTTTGCAGATTTCCACTCTAGAAAGGGAGTGTTAACAGATGTTAACAAGCAAAATGCTGTGGGCTATGATGTGAAAGGGAAACATAAAATGTTACTATGTGTTCACTACTAAAGCAATTGTTTTCAAAGAATACATTTTGAAATTCTCTGCTTGCTTAAAGCAATCCTTTCCAAAAATATATTATGAAATTCTCTGCTTGTTTCTGGCTCATGATCCTCTAAGATGCTGAGGGCTAGCCATTCCTATTGAAATCCCTCTGCGGCGATACATGCCTTCTGATATACGGCAGTAATTTCACCTTTGTATTATACTTAACCTGAGCTGTATTTCCTCTGCCTTAACTCCTGAAAAAAACATGATTTTTTTTGTCGCATTAAGGAGATGTGTAACTTTGGCTTCCTTGTTGTGGTAGTCTGCTGTAGCTATTGGACTCTGTTACGCAGTGGTTTTCCTTTACCAGTGGCATCGTGATGTGTGTGGGCTTCTATGTTCTTGCAGAGCTAAGGAAATAAAACAACAAAACCAAAGGCTCAGCTAATTGTGCTGAGGCTTTTCTAAGAAACTTGCTCTAGAGCTCATATGAAGCATGTGGAAGTTTGGTGTTAGGAAGAAAGAATTTGGGAAAAGTTGGAGTGAAAATAGCTCAGAGCACACTTGCTTGTTCAGCCCCCGCAGTGAAGTTGTGAAGTTCTTTGCATTGCTGCCCGAGTTCTTTGGCATTTGGAGGAGCAAACTGATTACTGCTGGCTCTGTCTTAGGACACTTGTATTCCTGTTCCTCTTTTGGAGTCTTCCTTGGAGGTTATGGATAATTGTTTTAAAAGGCTCAGGTGTGAGTTGATGCATTGCCATGAGGGATCTGCTCCTTTTGTTGCAGGCAAAAACTCCTTTACTAGCATCTTTTTCTTCCAGGTGTAACCCACTTTGAGTTTTTTGTGATGTGATCACCTGCCAGAAAATAGAAGTAGTCTTTTTTTGATAGATCTGACCTGTGTTGAGTTAGTCTGTGTTTGCATTAAAAATAAAAAAAAAAAAAAAGAAAAAGACCCTGCATTAGAGGAGCTGTGGACTTTACGTATGCAGGTAGCTTGGTGCTCTGGCAAAGAATCACACAGTCACCTGCTTCAATGCTGCTAAGCCTGACTAGATCTAGGGATTGTTTGCAGGTATGCCAGTCAGAAGTAAAGGACTGTCACCCTGCAAAACGGAGGAACTAGGGCAAGCTCGCAACAGTGAACTCAGCTATAGTTCACTTCAAACAGGGCTGTCCAATTAGTTAATTTTGAAGCTGAAATTGAAATGTCATATAAACCAAATGTGTGTTGAGCTAAACCTTCTGTATTCAGCCCTTTTCAACCTTTTCTAAATTGAAAGAGAACCTTTAGCTTGCTTTTCTTTGTGTGATTAAAGTTATGCACTGTACTTGAATAAAGACTGCAAATTGTTTCAGTTCTGAGACTGTATTATGTTTAATAAATATTTTTTCCAAATAAGCTATTTATTAGCAAAAATTGCACAGCTCCTCTCATACTAAGTGCTTGGGGTCTTTTGTACCATTCCCACCCCCTCGCCCCGAGGCAGAGTTTTTCCTACTGAGCAGTAGTACGTCCTACCACGATGCAGCTGCCAAGTTACCAGCAGACCCTCCTTTCATCCAGAGTTCCAGGTGCTCTTGGACATCCAGCTTCCAGTAGATACCATAGAACAGCTTCGTTACAGCCATCCTGTTCAGGCAGGACACTGCATATAGAGGCTTGATCCTGGCCACAACAGCTGGATTATTGACCATCCTGTCCTTGAAAATGAGCTGAGTTGTTAATGTATACGTGGTCTCCTTGTCTCTGCTAGACCAGGATAAATAGAAGAATACGATTTAGCGCAAATTTCATGGGTGATGGTGTAGGCTGCATGACTCTGGATCCTACTATTTGCTTGCAGTCGTGTTGTCCTGCCTGTCCTGATGTGCGTACTCCACTCTTTACTTACAGACACCGCCTGGAAGAGGGGCAAGCCAGCAGCTGGACGCGCAGACTCAAAGTTTTTCTTTGCTGCACACGAACAAAAGACTCTCAGTCGGTAAGTACCCAGTATCTCCTGTCAGAGAGCAAGCTGTGTGTACGGCTGCTTGATAGATGGGACTGAGCAGAGCGTAGCGACGTGGGGTTCCTGCTGTCAAGCCTGGACGATGTGTGTTCCATTTTACCGTGAGTGTTCTTTGAGATCTGGAGGCACAAAGAGTCCAGTGAGCCTTGACAGCAGTGCATGCAAGGACTGGACATATGCCTTCCAAGGAGCAGCAAGCTGAGCTACCCTCAGATAGACCAGGCTTGAAATTTCATTGCACGTTGGTTCCTTTTCCTTCCTTTCAGCCCAAGCAGCCTGAATGAGCACTTGCAGGAGGGTACCTGGGTATTCCATGCAGAAATAGAAACTGATGTTTCCTTGTAGATGCAGATGGAACATCGCTGAGTAGGACAGTTGTCTTTTCCAAAAATGGTCTTAACACTCTGGTTTTGAGTATTACAGGATTCTCTCCAAATATAAAGTTAGTAGCACTGAAAAGCAATGTTGTCAGTGTTAAACTCTTCTCCTGAAGTTGTTCTTTACCTCGTTGTTGCTGGGATCATAATTTTAAGTGAAGATATCAGTGGAAGAAATATGTGCTTATCACTATGTTTAGATTCAACATTTGACAGCACTTTGGTCAGCTTTGGTTTCCCTTTATCAGCCAGTTTGCTTAGGCAGTTTCTCCAATTTGCATCAGTCTCATACGCTTAAGAAGGAGAGATGCCTCTTTGAAAATGGGAACATGCAAATCAGAATCAGCAAAAAAATACTTCTGGATTACTAACAGTCAAGAACTACTACTCAATCCATAGATTCACATGAAGATCATTGATTTGAAGTGTTCATGTGCTACAGTTGGGATGTTCCCTTGCTGCTACCTATCCAGCAGGGAAGGGTTAAGGGGCTTGATACTGCTTCTGCAAAAGTTAGCAGGTTTGTGCTTTAGGGTGGTATTCAACAGGACTCCTGAGGGACCTGCTGGACAAGTGAGTACTAAGGTGGAAAATTTTGCTGATAACTTGTAATATTACAAGTTGGTCAGAATTATATTTGAGAACTCTTGAAGAACCAAGCAGAAACAAGGGAATTGTTATCAAAGGTAGCAGAAAGTTGTAAAGAAAGATGAGGTGATGCACGCACATCTGAAGAAACAAATTACTTGCGTACGCTGGGCTCTGAATTAGTTACAACTTCTTGGGAAAAGAGCTAGGAGTTATCAAGGACACTTCAGCAATGACATCAGTGCACAGCAGTGGCCAAAAATCAGCAAAACGTTTAGCTTCAGTAGAAGGGCATAGAAAATGACAGGGAAAACACCAAGGGACCAACCACATCAGTGATGTCCTCACTAAATATAGCCTGGTGTTTGGTCTCCTAAAAGATGTGGCAGAAAAAGGAGCATATTGGAGGGGATATGAACTTGTATAGGAAGAGAAATGAGACTGGGATTTTAACCTCAAAAGGGAAAGTTATAATAAGATGAAGAGCTGTGTAAGGATAATGGAGAGTCAGGTGAAGGCTACCTGAACATTTGTTCATCACAGATGGCAACCAGTATGAATTAGATTAAAAGGGTTTGTTGCTAAGTGCTGTGTAGTTAACTGCAGGGTGCACTTTCCAAAGTGTGGACGGCTGCAGGAATTGTCGTAGCCCCTTTGCAGAAATCCAGTGACGCGTACTAGCACGCTGACCCTCCCAGTGGCACGCTCCTGCGGTACTGGATGAAATGCCACCGCGTTCCCAGGGAACGTCCCAGCCCCAATCTGCTGTCCCACTGAGAAGCCATAGCCCAGGACTGCCAGCTCTCACAGCTCATCTGCTCAAGCTGCTTAGGAAAATCCATCTGGAAAACGGAAACAAAACAATGTTTGTGTCCCGGCAGCTCAAACAGCAGCATTTCCTCGGGGGTTATTGTCTGCTCCTCTGTTTGCCTGTGCTGCCACAGCAGAGGCACCTTCCCTTCCCCCTGGCAGCACAACCACATCTTGCCGGAGATGCCTGTCCCGGGGGTGCAGTATGGCTGCTGCCCTGGCAGGCATCCGAATGGCCTGGTTTCTGAACAACTCTATTTTATTCAGGAATGCAAAATATTTCACTTCGTGTCAAGCTTTTTTAACAAACTTTTCATTCTGCAGTGACTGTCTATTTCTACTTTTTTTTTAGTTCAGAGTAAAGGCAGATACCAGAATCTCCAAATTCCTTGTACTATTGAATTTCCATTTTACATTCAGCTTGAGCAATTTCCAAGCTCTTTTCTTTGCAGAAACAAGCTCTGACTTTGTGTCCTGGCATGACAGTGTGTGGAATGAATGCGTATTTAATGGATCAGAAATGAATCCATTGCTGTCTCTCCCATTTTTTTCGGAAAAAATGTTCTAGCAGAAGATCCTCCTCCTCTGGGCTGGAAAACAGAGTTCTGCAGAGCGGACACAGCATCGGGCAAGAATCTGTTCTTATGGGTCTGGAGTCAAGAAGCCCCGGTGCCCGCATGGTTTGTAGCAGAATACTGCAATCAATCCTATAGTATAATATCAGGCGCTCCAGCAAAAACTCTTCCTTTGGAACAGAACATACGTGTTGAACTTCCGTTACAGCCTTTTTCTTTATTCAGAGTATTAAGAGGTGTTGCTGTCACTTTGGGTTAATGGGCATTCATTGTATTTTACTTTGAGGCTGTTTGCGTTTCTTATGTGCTTATAGGAACTGTGCTAAGATTTACGGGGTCAGTATTTCAAGGATACTGCGGTTGTAATGTTGGAGAGGTTAATGCTAGTCCATTTGCTCTTCAAAGGCACAGCTGGCATGGAAACCTGCACAGTTGGCACCTGAAACCCCATTCTTAATGGTGATTTAACTTGCTTTTGTAGGCAAGTGAAAAATGATAGAAAGTAATCTTGCACTCCAGGAGTTTGTCAGAGATAAAAGAATGTAGGTCATTTCCTGCAAGACTGCTAGGGAGAGAAGGGATTTACTTTCTTGCTTGTCAAAGAAGAGAGATGGAGAGATCCTGTCCTGAAGACCAGCCTTTCTTCAAGTGCTTTCTGCAGACAAGACTGCAGTCGCATGGCTTTAGGTGCCATGTAAAGGATGCTATGACAATACAGGCTAAAAGCTCAGGATAAGGCCGTGTCAGATCCTGCTAGGAAAGGTTTAGTGATGTGAGGAGCCAAAATACTGACTGTGCACTGAGGCACTTGCTCAGTTCCACTTTTTGTTGATCCAACCTCTGGGTCGCCCTTGTCTCTAAGCTTGCTGGTCCGAGCAATGGCCAGATCAGCATCGTCTCTCAGTCCAGCCCATTTCCAACCTCCCAAACCATTCTCACTTAAGGTTTTGGGGTTTTTTTGTAATACAGAGCAAAAGAGAAAGTAACATTTCTTCTCAAAATACTTTTGTCACTCTGCTTCAGAGCCTTTGCTTGACCCTCTCAGGTCGCTTCCACTTTTGTCCCTCCTGTGATGTCTTCCTTTTCTGGGTTTAGTCACCTTCTCTTCTGGGCAGTCTGCATTAAATAGCCCAAATCTTTTCCCAGGATTTTCCTTTTTCAGGCTGTTTTGCTTGGATGGAATCAAAGATAAACTTGTAAAAGCCTGGTAACTTGATCAGCTCCTTCAGTACCAAGAGCTGCTGTGTATAACACCTGCTTGTTGCGATTAACTCTTTGAAATGACGTAGCAAAGAGCGGGGTGGGGAACAGTGAGCAGCTACAGTAACTTCAGTGGCAGGATTGGAAAGCTGTCACTTTCTCCGATGTGCCTGGGATGCTGAGGTCTGGGTTAAGTATGGGCAAAATGATCCCAGGACAGGGTTACAGAATTGAAGAGGATGTTAAATAGGACAAAATCAGTGTTGGCTTTTTTTTCCCCCACTAAATAGCCTTTGTTCAAATGAAATTGCTTTTGAGGAGAAAGGATGACTCTGAGATGACACTGGATTGGGAATTGGTTCTCATCTTGCTTCCTCTGTCTTATTTACAATGTAGAGATGAAAACATTTCCTTTCTCTCCCTTCATGTCTATTTTGATGTTGAGGTGGTCTGCTTGCCCACACATAAGCACCCAGCATAGTACAAATTCAGTCACAGCGGAAGCCTCCAAGTGTGACTATGTAAAATAAATAAGAGATATTAATATGATTAGACCAGATACGGTGTTCCCTGAAGGAATGTTGTGGATGTTTTGGAGAGAGAGAGCTACAGAAATGAGGCCATTGCTGCCGCATTGGTTCTCATTCTGTGTCCTGTTTTGAGTCTCCCCACACCCAAACTCCTCCTCCTAAACTCTTCTCTCCCTGGATTTTGCAGGACGCCTACTCTGAAATCGCCTACCTTTTTGCTGAGTTTTTCCGAGACCTTGACATCGTCCCATCTGACATCATTGCAGGCCTGGTTCTTCTGCGCCAACGACAGCGGGCAAAGCGCAACGCCGTGCTGGACGAGGTGGGTGGAGGGGGCCTGTCGCCATGCACGGAGGAGGCAGTGGGTATCTCGCTCGGCCTCTGACTTAACCTGCTGCTCCTGTGACTCATTGCGTGAGAACTGCATGACTCTGCCCACCTCGTTTCTGTTGCGTGATGGGCTCTTGCCAGTCAGCCAAGCTGTAAAATAAAAATACAAACTTCTTTAGCAGCTTTTTCTGAGACTCCCAAAGGGCCAAACTGAGACTGAGTCAAGCTTGTGAAGCCTTGTCATCTTCTCTAGGCAGGTGATGCCGACAGATTTAGCTCTTGACCCCAAAGGAGGTGGCAGGTATTTGAAAGTGAATGGGAAGATTACTCCTCCTGCACAGTGATGTGGAGAAGGCTCTGGTATCTGAGTAAAGCTGCAGGAGGAACTTTAAGGACAAATTCCTAAATTCCCAACCCATTACTGGCATTGAGAATTTATGGTTTGTTAGCCCAGCAGAAAATTGTTTGGGTGGTTTGAGGGGTTTCTTTATCCCCCACCAGAGGTGGTGTTCAGGCAGCAGTGATCAGATCAGGCAGAAATAAGAACAGCAGAATTGGAACCAGTTGAAGACATTGGGATAATTGGAAGTATCTTGTCCCAGGTTATGTAGTGCTTTTTGTTTCTCAGGTGTAGATTTTTTTTGTCATGGTGTCACAGAGAAGAATTTTTATGTATGTTTGTGACTTACAGGCAAACAATGACATTTTAGCTTTTCTGTCTGGGATGCCAGTGACCCGGAACACAAAGTATCTGGATCTGAAAAATGCGGTAAGTCACTGGACTGTGATCTTGCAAACTCACTGCGCTTCCCTGCATAGCCTGTTTTCTTTTTCTTAGTGGCTTCTCTTATTCCTTTCTGCCCCTCTCTGGAATAATAATAAAAAAAAAAAAAAAGCGCAACAGAATATAACAATGCTTGCTCTCTTGGAGGATTTTTATCTTCAAATCACTTTTAAAGCACTATCTGTCCTCTGCTTTGCGGGAAGTGGTAGTATTTCTCCTCAAATGGGGGAGGGCAACGCGAGGTTTCTCTGAAGCCAGAGGTAGGAGTTGAGCGCTGCATCCAGGAGTGTCGTGCGGAGCTCTGTAAGGAAGTACCACCAGCAGAGCTCATGGAGCCCAGCAGGCAGGGCTCTGTCTTGATAAGGGCAGGGAGCTGCCTGGAGCAAGATGGAACCTTTCTTCCTGGGGCTGATGGTCAGCGGTTCTCAGGATGGAAATGGCTGTGGTCTGTTCTGTGTGACCTAAGCTTGGCTTTTCCCCTGGCATGCCCTTTGTAGGGTAGACTCACTCCCCTTGATTAAATGATAGTGCTGCAAGAGAGGCAAGACTGACCCAATCCCAGCATCTCTGACCAAGTGATTTTGCTATTAACCTGCTTGCGGCTGCGCTGTGTTTAATACTAACATCCTGCTCATGTTCAGCATCTCTCTCCTTCTGAATAGGTGTGTGGGGAGAGATGTCAGCAGAGCTTATAGAAGACAGCGCTGAGGCATGTGGTCCCAGTCTGGCTTTATGGTCCTCTCTGGGCATCTTCCGTATAGCCTGTGACTATGTGAAAGCAGTATATTTAGAGAGCTCATCTTCTCGGGACTTAAGCTAGTTTATCTTCTCCTAAGCTGGGGTAGGGTGGGGCAAAACCTACAGAGGATGACCTTCCTTTGCAGCAGGGTGTTTGATACGTGGAGGAGACTTTCTCTAGAACTACTGGTTTTGGTAAACAGCTAGCGGGGCCCCTCTGCTCAGGAAAATAGGTATGGCTATACTGAGCTGTTCTTGGGAGGGGTTGGATCCTGCCCAGCATAACCAGCTTGCTCTCCTCCAGTCTCCTGGAAGTACTGCTGGTGCTGTTCTGGTGGCCCTGAGAGAAGGCTGATGCTCAGAAAGAAGGGTGCATGTGTCTAACTGTGATGGAAAAAAGGGAAACAGTAGAAAAAACTCACAATCTAAGAGAACAAGGCCTTTAGTGAGTCTCTTGTTTCTTTCAGCAAGAGATGCAGCGGTACAAAGAGGTGTGTTACTACATGCTGTTTGCACTGGCTGCCTATGGCTGGCCCATATACCTGATGAGGAAGCCCACATGTGGACTCTGTCGCCTGGCCAGATCCTGCTCGTGAGTGGCCATCCTGCCTATCACTCTGCCTTCTATTCTTTCCTTTTCCCTTCTTTCTCCCAGATTTAGAATTCTCCTTTCTTTCATCAGTTTGCTCTCTTTATCACCCCTTCATTTATTCTTCCTCATTTTTTCTGCTTATTCCTCTTTTTTCCCTTCTCATGCTTTTCCTTTCCATCTCTCTGTAACTCTCTGCCTTCATACTCCAATGTCTTTCAGTCTTTACAGTAGCTTAGGTGCTTCTCTTGTTAAATAAACCAGGTTGCCCTACGCTCTCTCCTCTCCGGTGCACTAAGAATCATGCCAGTCCTGTGCAGTTTGAACAGGCAGCAGAAAGAACTCATCTGGCACGAGACTGCTTTCACACTGAGTCAAAATAGCTGTCTTGGAGCTCAGAAATCAGATTTATCAGCAAGCCCAGATATGCAGGGAGCTGACATTTGGGTCTTTATTAAAGCATTGGCAAGACTTGGCCAGAGTTTGTGCTGTGTTCTCTCTGACTAATTGTTTTTCTGCCATGCTGTATAGTGCTCACCTCATGGTAGCAATGCTGTAGTTCAGTGCAGGATTGCATTGTTTTAAACGTTTGCTTTCAGCTGCTATAATGCTGTCATCAGATTCTCTTTGGGGTTGAGCTTTTTGCACTTATTCAGGCAGCTTCTCTGCTGAATATACTTCCTTTTGAGTCCTTTTATTTGTGAAGTGTCTCATAAGGGAAAGAAGGACCAAAAAAAAAATAAATCTGTGCTTCTGTTTTTGTTCTGGAATGAATCTAGACCCGTTTTACTTTTTTTGTTATAAATAGATCTAGATCTCAGCAAATGCTACCTGCTTTGCGTGTTGAAACAATGTGGGGCTGTGCTATGAAGCATAGCATCCTTTGAGGAGAGATCCCAGCCCCACTAGGCATTGATTCCTTGGGGTCTGGTTGCACTGTAGCTCTCTCTGGTGCTCAGAAGGAAAACTACATCTGATCCCAGTGCCCCTTTTTGGTCCTGAAAGATGACTTGTGTGCTGTTTTGTGCAAGAGCTCCTACAAGCGAAAGAAATCACTACTGCCAAGATGAGGCCACTGTGGCATGCAGGGTCTGTCTTTCCCTTATCCCTAGGTGTTTCACTCTAAAGCCAATCTCTTCCATGTTCCTCTTTTCCTCAAAGCTATTTTTTAATTCTGCAGATGTTGCTGCCTCTGTCCTTCACGTCCCCGCTATGCACCAAGTGTCACTATTGAAGAGGATAATTGCTGTGGCTGCAATGCCATTGCCATCCGGCGTCACTTCTTGGATGAGAATATGACCTCAGTGGACATTGTTTACACATCTTGCCACGATGCAGTAAGGAGAATCTGCAACCCCCTTCATATTTGGGGTGTGCTCCCAAGGCCCTTCCTAATGGGATTTACATGCTTCCAGGTGTAGTGGTACAAAGAAGGAAATTTAAGCCTTTTTTCCTGACCCTAGAGCTTCCCATCCTATCTCTCCATCAAGAAATTCTGCCACTTGGACAGAAATATTTGCTACTGCCAAAAAATCAGATCATTGAGAGGAGTCCTTACCCATGAGGCATAACTTGTCAGGCTGCTCTGCCTCTTTTGCCCCGAGCAGGAGAATAATTAAACAGGAATGTCTCACCTGATTTTTACAGTAGTGGATCTTTTCCAGGTTTATGAAACGCCTTTCTATGTGGCTGTGGACCACGATAAGAAGAAGGTGGTCATTAGTATCCGAGGAACTCTGTCTCCAAAAGTAAGTGTGCTGTGCAGTGACCTCACATACCCTTGGACACCCTGGTAAACTTTCAGGAGAGTCTGAGACCTTCCCAACTCACGCGTGGTGTTTGACTTCCTGAAGCGTGGTGACTGTTTTTCTTCCAGGATGCCCTGACTGACCTAACTGGGGATGCAGAGCGCCTTCCAGTTGAGGGGCACCATGGAACATGGCTGGGACACAAGGTGTGTTAAAAGAAAACAACCCCAAAACAAAAAAACCCCACCACCCCACCACTTCTTTTTCTGATATTTTGACTTTTTAATTATAGGTCCCAAAAAAGTGGTCTTAAAAGCACCTCAGGCAATTATGAAGGGTGTTAAATAATTGCAGTGAAATGGCTTTGAGATGTTAAAATAAAATCCTTAGTTGTAACCGTTAAAATCACTGTCTGTAGTTAAAAACCCCATACAATTAGTAAAAACCGAACTGTAAAAGGTATCTGTGGAGACCTAGAACAAGATTATTGGAGTCATTCAATTTACTTTTTCTTCCACTGACCTTTTCAGAATTTGCAATCAAACCCTGAGAACGTGTTTTAAAATTCTGTTGCAAGGGGATAGGCATATTGAACCTCATAAAAGGATACTGGCAGCACTTGCATCTGTGTAATTAGACTGATGCTCCATGTTAGTGATCAGAACTGGGCTGACTAAATCAATTTACTATAGAGCTGACCTTTTGCCCCAGTCCAGCAAAGTAATGAGAAACATGCTGAGTTTTAAGATTATCAGGAATTTGGCAGCTTCTCAAGATGCGGTGCCAGGTTGGGAAAGAAAAATAGAAACTGGAGGTTGTGTGTGGTGGAAGGGAGCTGCTGCTGGAAATGCTGCTGCTTGGGGAGACAAGATACCGCTGATTATTCTGGTCCAGGTCCCTTCAGGGAGGGACACTGAGCTCGTAAGTCCTTGGGAGCCATGAGCTGGGAGCTCCTGCATCACTTGCGATGTCCTGTCCGCATGCCAAACCTCTACTCTGTACTTTGATGCTCTGCTTGAGGAAGTAGAGCATTAGGAGCTGATAGGTAACGGTGTACTCGAATGCTTTGCTGGTTATAGGTCTGATGAAGAAGTAGTTACCTAAGAAAGCATTGTCTAGGTGCTCCATGGTCTTCAAGTCTCCTAGAGTGGATTTTTTGAAAACAATGTTGTGTACCTGTTATTTGGTTAATGGCTGTTTCCTTGGTTTCCCCCAAAATGAGAAAAATAATCAACCTGGCAATTACATAGGATGTGTTACGGAAGCATAGATAAATGAGGTAGTGTTTTGTCACATAACTGATATTTAGCTCTGTGAATCTTTGCTATTTGTTTAACACTTTGAAGCGTTATGTCTACTGTCAATGATAACATCCCTTGTTTCTTGTACTAATGCATTGAGCTCAAAATGACTTTGCACAATCAGTGTGATCAACAGCTCATACAAAGAAAGGTAAAAGGAAAGTAAAAGGGAAGCAAGGGGGATTTGTTCTGAAATTTGTGCAGAAAAGCTAGTAATTAGATCCTTGCAGAAGTTGGCTTTTCTTTTGATCTTGATGTGAAAATATTCATATGCTAGCAGCTTATACGAAACATTATCAGATCATTCCCTTTGTTCTATATTGAGTTTTTATTTGGCCTTTGTGTTATTTCTTTTTTTTGATTATTGCTAGTACAGAAATATAGCTTTATCTTAAATTATTATCAGTATTAATCTTCAGACAATAATGTACTGTTGATTCCCAAGGGAAACTAATGAAGATAATAGAATTTTAAAATGTCTGTCTTAATGCATTTTTAATGTCCAGAAGTCAACTTTAATACAAAAATAAATGAAGTGTCTTGCTAACACTTACATTTAATTTGGAGAAAAGTACGTGGCCATTTGGGAGCTTCCTGTAAGTTGTTTGATTTCTGTTTTTTTCTTGCTGACTCTGTCCTGCACACCCAGCAGGCTGGCATGGCCTGTAATCTCTGCTTGCGGAGCCCGCCCGTCACTGTGCTTCACACAGTGTTGATCAGACATCCTACAAATTAAAACTCTTGATGTTTACGGGAGCCTTCTTATCACTCCACCAGTACCAAGCTGAAAGTGTTTGATTGCTTGGGTTGCTGTGAATGCTTCAGTTAAAATGCATAATAGGTCTCTGAGCTATTTTGGGTCAAAAAAATCTAGCTGTAACTAAGGTGTATGGGTTAGCATGCCAAAAAACAAAAGGGGTGTGTGTGTGAAAATCCCTAGGGGAGATTAACTGCAAAAAAAAGAAACCAACCCCAAAACCCTAGCTTCACTATTTTTGAAATAAAATCCACTGATTGTTATAACAAAGTTAATTTAAAAATAATCATAAATCAAGGGCATGAATCCATACTTTATTCTGTAGAACTGGAATAGAACAAAGCTACTAAAATGATGATGTTGTGAAGGTTTGCTTCCTGGTGTTGAGCCAACTGAGATGACAAGAAGTAGCTGCTAGAAGGAAACCCGGAAAGCTCAGCCGCGATAACAGCTCTCACCAGTTTGATACGACAGCAATAGCAATAACTTTCAAGCTCTTTACCAAATAGACCCCCTCCGTGGGTTTTCACACACACCGTTCAAATAATCGCAGAGCAGTTTCGTGCCTTCAAGCTGCAAAGCAGTACGGGATATTTCCATTTCATTTTCCCTAGATCTCCAATCTGTTTGATTATTTACCCGTGAGGTTTGAAAATTAAGCCCAGATAGTTTTATTCCTTTGAAACTTATGAAACCAGTGTCTGCTTTAATGGAAAGTCTAAATGTAACTTTGCAGTGGTAAAAGTCTCATTCCATATTATTAAAATCACTGTCTATATTAGAATATACTGTAATTATCAAAAATATAGCTATAAGGCTGACTAACAGCCCATTAGTAACATCACCATGGATTTAGGTCATGCTTTTCAAAAATAGAATCCTAAATTCATGTTAGAAATTTATATAAGGAGTCTGCTGTTCACTTCTCATTAGAGTTGGAGATAGAGACTCTTTTGAATGCGGCGGAAGCTGGCTAGCTGCTGAGAGATCTGAACATGGGCATGAAATATCATGGCATCGGCTTTTTGATAACGATGGCAGTGTTACTGATGTCCCATTCACAGGCTCAGCAGAATCACCTGTGTTCTGCTCTTGCTCTTCAGTAGTCAGCTTGGTTTTGATGGTGTGTTTGATATTGAGGACTTTGAAAATTCCATGTTTCTTTGCTTTTTGAGAGGGCCACGAATTCTTTTATCGCTCTGAGATTAAACAGTGCTCAATAATGTTCACTTTGTACTTAAACTGGTTTCAGGTAGGGGTGTGATGGGAAACAGCAAAGGAGATGATCTTCCCTGTTTTTTGGGAATTATTACTCACCCAGTGTGAATTATTTGAGGTCTGTAATCACCAAATTAGAAGTAGCTGTTTTCTGTTTACCCATGTTCACCCTGGACTACATCGCTGTTTTTCAGCCTTTGTAGTTCAGGCTTGCTTATCACTGACTTTACGACAGTTTAAGGCATAACCAAGAATTTATGCAACAGCCCAAATTCGAGTTGCTTGTTTATAACAGATCAACTGCATTTGTCATTATTGCACAGAGGGAGAAACGCTCCTCAGATGCAGCCATCAGCAGAGAAGGATTGATGTTTAGAATAGGACTATCTGCTTGTTTCCCATCATCTTAGCTTCTAGTGAATAAAAACCTTTAATAATTTGTGATTAATGTCCTTTGACAGCTGAATCCCCTTAATAGTTGCTGCCTTCTCCAGTCATCAATAACTCTTCCTGTACAGATAGTGCTGCATAGTGTCTCAGTGTTTGTATTATTTTCCCTGTTAGGCTAGTTCTTGCTTTTATTCGTGTTCAGATTTAAATGGAAGAGTCCAGTTTTGCAGTTAAAGCACTGATGTACAGAAAATCAAAGTTTGTTTCACCGTTCTGCTGCAGGTCCCAGTGTCTGCTGAGCTTCCAGATACACAACCTTGTGTTTAAGTGGGGTGTTTTGTTATTTGTTGTTTGCTTTTTTTATTTCTAGACTTTGCACCGTGAGCCCAGGAATAGGTCCTTTGAGTGTTACCTTAACTTAAGAACTGTCATTACTTCTAAACAGTTTGTGGCTCTGGTAATCGGTGAGCCAAGACATCTGCCTAATGAAGTCTATTCCTAAATGTGGAGTAGAGTCAGTATTCTTTCTCAACCCTGACACGTGCTGTGTGGCACTCCAGAGCTCACGCAGCATTAGGGGCAGCTTGGTGGCTCCTAGATGTTTAGATCAGGGCTGATATGCAACCCTTTACATCCTGCTCTGGCTTTGTTTCCCTCAGGGAATGGTGCTATCTGCTGAGTACATCAAGAAGAAACTGGAGCAAGAAATGGTGCTTTCTCAAGCTTTTGGACGAGACTTAGTGAGTATGAGGTTTCTTTTATTGTTGCAGGTTATACAGAAGATGAGACTTCCCTAAAACACTGGTTTTGGGGAAACCTTCATGCCCCTGAATCTGTTGTACTAATTTCTGAAATCTTCCTTCAATTCCTGTCCCTCTGGATTGCCAGACAGGCAACTAGTTACTCATTCCCCCAAGGCTTTTTTTATTTTGAAACCACCGATACTGCAGAGCTCCTGATTTTTATTATTGTTTTTTTCTCCGGCAAAGCTGAGGCAGAAAGTCCCATTTGGTGGCAACGCAGGGCAGGGAACATTAAAAACAAATCAACAGGAACTAAAATCTCATCTCTATGGAGATTCTCTTTGGAGACAGCAATGGGATGCCATGCTGACTGTCTGTGTGCGCACATTTTTTGTGATAGAGAGCTATCGGAGAACCCAAGAGAGGTGTTACGAAGCAGCTTACCTTAGTTTAGATGTCAGTAATAGCAGAGTCTATGTCCCCGTTGGGGTGGCAGCTTCGGAACTGCCTGATTCCCTGCTGTCAGACAGCTGTCCTTTTCTCACGCCCGAAGAGTGCCTTGGCCTGAGCAGCGCCTGTGGGGAAATTAGCAATAGCTCAAGGGAGAAAGAAAAGAGAGAGAAAAGCCTCAATGGTTCCCTGAAACCTGAGTGTCACACCAGTCAACATTGAAGCATCTGCCTCGTGATGTTTGGTAGATGTAAGGACAGATATGTTGGCGTCAGACTACTTTGGTGCTTTATTGCTCTCTGCCCAGAATGTGAAAATGGATCTTGTTAAGTGAGCTGTTACTCATGAGGACTTTATCCTGATGTCCTACAGAGCTCAGCTGCCACCTTGACTGGTAAGGATATGGTGGCGTTCAGAGCTCTATACTTTGGTTGTCTCCTGTGTGTGATAATAAACATCATATTCTGTTCTGTTTGAAGCTGGCTTTATGGTGGGTCCACCTTTTAATTGATGAAAATTGTGTAACTAGTTGGACCTGAGCTTAGTTAATATGAGATGGAGTAACTGGCCTGTGTGTAGAAGCTAAACTTTGAAGAATATCTGAACAAGTGGTATGGCCAAAATGTAAATGCCCTCTGAGGTCCTACCAAAGGTTCCTCTGTACATTGTTTTGGACAGTTGCCAGCAGCAGATGTTTAACATAACAAGTGAGGTGTGTAAAGTCTTAATTCTCCCCCAGCATTCACCTCGCTGACTGTAACAGGCATGGCGGTGGCTTAGAGGTGGTCTTGAGGAGGAAAATGACACAAGGAAGAGATCTTTTGTTCTTGTATTTGTTCTGTGTGACTTGAGCAGTGGTCAGCTGTTGAGAGCATCTAGACTTAGAAGACTACTGTTCAAACCGCTAGTTAAGGTTTCTGGTTTTCAGCCTGCACAAGTGGTAGAATTAATGAAACCAAGTCATTTCTAGAACCAAGGAGACTGCAGATGTGTGAGCCTGGACTCGGATATTAAGCAGAAACAAAACCTCCTATCAGATCCTAAATAACTCAAACCGCTTGTGTACATTTCCTTTTTCTTCTGACTTTATTCTTTTAGGAAAGATCCAGTAGGTCAAACACTGATTGGGGGATGTAGGAGAGAATGAATTCTAGCATCCCTTCAGAACAAGCAATGTTGCAGGGCAAGGAATAGGTGCTAGCGCTGCCACTGACTTGGACTAAACAGTGTAAATCAGAACTCTGCTTCCATTTTAAAATCTAACGTACCCTCACTAGTTCCCACTGGTGGAGGAGCTGGTTAGCTGGAGTCTGGGGTGCTCATGTAAAGCAAGAAAACTCACAGCTGGGGAGGAGGACAGATTTTGGGGGTTTTGTGGACTTACCTTTCAGTGTGACCTCAATTTCTTGGGTTTTTTTTTTTTCAGGGGAGAGGAACAAAACACTATGGCCTGATTGTGGTCGGTCATTCTCTAGGGGCTGGCACAGCTGCCATCCTGTCCTTCCTTTTGCGTCCGCAGTACCCATCGCTGAAGTGCTTTGCCTATTCTCCCCCAGGGGGGCTGCTGAGGTAGGTGTTGGGGCAGGAGGACCTGTGACAGGTGGGGTGTAGTTCTAGCTGAATCAGATCCTGTCTGTGATGCTCTGAGGAGCAGTAAAAGACAGCTCTCTGCCCTGAGAAGCATGCAGAAGAATGGAGAGGCAGTTCATAGGAGCTGAGGGCTGTCAGCACCTTTTGCTCTGTGTGGTAGTTTGGAGTTAAGGTTTTGATGGCAGGTGGCCACTCTCCCAAATATTCTATTTTATGCTTTAGTTGTCTGTGGCTATAGCTCTAATTTCACCCTGACTAGTGGAAAATGCAAGTTGAGTGGACAGGGTGCGATTTCCTTGTTCTCTGCACAGCGCCAGTGTGTCCTTTTCCCCATCTGCTGCAAATAGATGTACAGTAAGGGAGATATTTGACCGAATATAGATGTCTGCATCAGTTGATCTAGTTGTTTGGACTCCTTTTGCAGCTGACAAAGGAATTGGCACTTCTGGGGTGTGATTTCTGTCACTCTAGAGTGGCTGCCTAAAATAGGTTGGAGGGATTTGTGCTTCTTGGGTGCCTGTTCCCCTTGGCTATAGGGGAATCGAGGGTACGTGCCTCAGAGATGTCTGAAGAGAGGTATAGTGAATTCCTCCCACTGTAAATTGGAACAGACCTGCTGATCACGTTATTTACATGGCAGCCAAACAAAAACATCCTACTTGATTGCTGTGGAGTGAGATAAAGTCTTTGTAGTTGTGGCAGGCATCATGGGGGCACTTGAAAGCAGCTACGGATTATCGGAAGCTTCTTGTGGTAGTTACTGCATCGTGTCCAGGAGCAGCCAAGGGTTTTAAACCATCCTGCTAATGAATCTGAGTACCGGCATGCTGCCATAGTAATCCCTGGTCTTCTGTAGCTATAAAGGAGTCATGCTAGAATGTTTCATGAGAGTTTTATCGTTTTCTACTCAGAGCTTCCACTCCTGAGATCCTTTGCTCCCTCAACTGTTTCAGAGTTCAGGGAGGTGCCTCTGCCTGCCACGCTTTTGTTGCACTGTGTGTTGTGCCCGGGATCATCTCTAGGTCAACAATGCAGCCTCTGCCTGTGATAGCTGGTTCAGAAGGTATCTAGGAGAGTAGTTGATTGCAGAACCAGCTTATAGAGTGGAAGCCTTAATTCCCTCTTATCTTGGTACTCAGATTGCTGCAGAAAGTGGCCATCTTAGGTCTGCAGTGTTTTTCTAGTCTCAGGAGCATGGAATATCTTCTTCCTTTCTGCTGTCCTGGCCATTCTGAACTATTGGAAAATGACTCTGAGGCACTGAGAGTACTTCCTTTTCCAAGTGTATTCAGAGCCATACGCAGAATAAAGTTGCTTGGAGCATGGCATGTGAATATCGAGCTTTTCTTTATCAAGGTGCAAATCCCAAAAGCCTTGAGCAGCTTGGGTTGTGATTTTTTTTTTATGGCCCTGGTTCACTGTTCAGTAACCTCTGACACCAGTGGTAAATTGGGAATGAAGTGCAGTTTGCTGCTAGCGAAACACTGTTTGCTTCTTCTTGGTCCTGTTTCTCTTCCAGTGAGGATGCCATGGAGTATTCAAAAGAGTTTGTGACTGCAGTCGTGCTTGGCAAAGATCTAGTGCCCAGGCAAGTTGAGAAGTGTCTGAATTTCTTGATGAGTGTCTACTGTTCTATACCAGTCACCTGTTTTTATCAGAAACACCTAGATCATGTCTGTCTCCAGTTTCCTCATTTATCTGTCCTTGTATGCCTCTTACTTGTCTTCCTAGTTACCTGTATTGCTGCGTCTCTTACCTGGACCACCTATTTTGGTGTTTCACACACCTTTTTATAGGCATATCCCTCCCTGGCTCTCAGCTGCCTGTGTGAAAGAAAAGGGTGAATATCCTGTCTCTGTAATTACACTAATTGTGGTATCTGACATGTTGATACCATCTTCCTGGTTGCCTCTTTACACTCTGCCCTGAACTGGCTGTGCTGTCATCTCATTTTGTACTGTTTGTCCCTGAATATCTATTCCATATCATCTCACGTCTCTGAACCAGCTCCATCATTTCTTGTGTCTTGGCATTTCTCACCTCTCATCATCTCCTGGGGACGTGTTCTGCTGGGCAGGGCGTTGGACTGGGAGCCAGACAACCTGGGTTTTACTTTTGTTTCTGCCCTGTTGTGTGACCTCGGATAAATGGTGACATTTCTGCCTGTACAATATAAGGCATGTAGAATTCAGTGGAGGGAAAGTACTAAATGGTATTGAATATGCCTTTTGGTAACCTGTATGACAAAATCTTGTGCATCCTGTAATCTCTTTCGTGGTGTCATAGCTCTGTGCCACCTTTCTAATTTATTTGTTCTATGTCATCCTGTACTTGTTTTTTGCTCACTTGTTTCTATGATTGCATCACCTCCCTCCTTATCTGTTACATTGACCTCTCTCATATCTGTGTGATCTGATCTGTATCTGCTGTTAAATTTCTTACTTGTTTGTTGTCACGATGGTTTCCTGTGGCCTCTTAACCCTGGTTATTGGTCCTGGACAATGCTATTAACCCCCTTTAGTATCTTTTGTAGCATAGTTTCTTTTTCTTCTGCCCTTTATGTCCCTGTATCTTGTTACCTGCGTGCTTTTCAATGCCCAGCTGTTATAAACACATCTTCTTCCTTTCCAGAATTGGTCTGTCTCAGCTGGAGGGATTTCGCCGGCAGCTTCTGGATGTTCTTCAGAGGAGTAACAAGCCAAAGGTAAGATTAACAGACACCTGAAGGTGAACCTCTCAGCAGCCAAGGTAAACTATTAGTGTCACGTAGCAATACTGCAGACTTCTCCCGCCCTCCAGGTCTCCTCAGGTCCACGGTGATGACTATTTCAGTAACCAGAGGAGTGATGGCAAGAGTTGGAAGGCAGCTAGAGAGGTCAGGGCAAAGGGCTGCGCTGTTTGCAGGCTACGTAATGACTCTGGCTCATGCGCCGTAAGTTTGCCATCTAAAATAACTGAGCAGGAAATTTTCTTGGATGTCTGAGCCTGTTTTGAAGTCTGTGTTCCAACTGCAGCTTTTCTTGGCCAGTGACAAATGGTGAGGGGCTAGGAAGTACAGGTCATTTACTTAGACGCTGCTGTGTGTTGTCTGGGTGGTGCTGTTCTAGGATAAGTGGCCTGTTAATGTTTTGGAGGTAGGAAATGTGGAAAGTTGTTCCTCCCCATGCTTCTTTACCATTATGCTGAGATGGAAAAAACATAAAAATCTTCATGTCTTAGGGGTAAAAATATTATAGAAATGACCTGTGGAGGGAGAAAACTGAGCTTACATTTATTTTTCTTGTCAGCATTCTTTGGGTTTTGTGTTTTGGCTTATGGGTTTTTTGGAGTATTTTTGATAGGATTTCTTTTAGTGCATAAAGAAAGGCCTAGACAGAAGTTTTGTCTGTTTCTGTTGTATATTTTTTTGCTTATACATTATACATTTGTACACTAAGAATTCAGATGCCATCTACCTTGTTTATCCTGGAAAATATTAAGTTACCAGTTGGTGGACAAGCTGGTGCTTAGTCTAGGTCCTTTTTTTGCTGGAGATTTTTGTATGGTTAAGGAAGGATGAGATGTTGCCGCTTCTAAGGTTAAAATTGGAAAAGGAAGAAACAGCTTTTCTGGGCAGGGTTACCTCTGTCTCTAGGTCTATCATTTAAGCAATCAAGGCACAAGATCTGTGGGATTTTTTCCTTTTCTAGTATTAGGTATTTAGGTTACACCTACCGATAACGTCTTGTGAGATGACTCTCTTCTTTCTTTGATGTTTTTCTCTTCTCAATATTCTCCCTCCTTTCTCTTGTGTTGAACAGTGGCGAATCATTGTGGGTGCTACAAAATGCATACCCAAGTCAGAGCTCCCTGAAGAGACGGAAGAAAATTCAGTGACAAGTAATCGCCTCTGGACCCATCCCAGCGATCTGACTATCGCCCTCTCTGCAAGCACACCGCTTTACCCGCCCGGCCGCATCATCCATGTGGTGCACAATCATCCCGCAGAGCAGTGCTGGTGAGTTTGTGCACGGCTCTGCAGCCAGCCCATGAGTCGGGGTGAAAATTTTCTTTTGGAAAAGACTCCCCAAGGCAGGAACCTATCTAGGAAGGAGGTGGTGATTTTCTTTTTTTCCTTGCTGTCTTACAGTGACAGTGATTGTGTCAGTGCTGTCAGAATAACAAGATAGTCATGTCACTGTTGGCTAGTGCAGAGTTTTACAATGGCAGTAGCATGTGTACTTTAATATCTTCTCCTTCTGTTTTTTCTCCTCTTGCTTTTTCTGTCTCTGCAACCTGCTGTCTCTTCCTTTTGCATGCCAAAATACCGGCCTGCTCTTTCATCCCCTGCTCCCTGTTTTCCCCTCTGTATCCCAACTCCTCTTCCAGTTGCTGCGAGCAAGAGGATCCCACTTACTTTGCCATCTGGGGTGACAATAAGGCGTTTAACGAAGTGATCATCTCGCCGGCGATGTTGCACGAACACCTCCCGTATGTGGTCATGGAAGGGCTCAACAAGGTAACGCAGAGAATTAGGATCAAGCGGCCATTAGGTGCCCAGATAAAACGAGTGTCTTGTCACAGGCCTTTACGTACCCAGGAGAGCTGGCTGTTTAAATGTATAAGACCATTTACTTTGGAGGGGAGGAAGAAAGAAGATTGTGCGCTGGGCCAGTCACACACAGGCTATTAGAGTTGAACGTAGTGAGGTCTGATCTCCATCCCAATACCCAGAGTCCTAGACTAGGTCCTCTTTCCAAACTTAATGTCGTAATAATGTGAGGTTGGGTGTTTGGTTCCTTCTCGTGGAAGCTCCCTGTTACAGACTGCAGTTCAGATGAAGTCCAGAAGTCCTCCACACTGCAACTGCAGCCTGTCTATTAGTCTGAGGGCTGATTTTGTTTTAAGTAATGGTTGTAGACTGGGTCTCCATCACTAAGCTGCGGTTCCTGGCCATGGAGACTCAGCCAAGGCTCCTCTACCCTCCCAGTCTGAAGGTTGTTTCTCCCAGCACTGGATTCCCAGCAGGGCATTCTGACAGGATAGAGTATGTCAGAATTCATTGATATTATCCTTTATCTCAAGATCTTGCCCTGTGTTTGTGGGAAGGCAGTGGTAAGAAACAGAGGCAAATCCTGCTGTCTCCAGTAAGGCGTTACTGTTCCTCTGCTTGCCTTGGATAGGTCTTGGAGAATTACAACAAGGGGAAAACAGCTTTACTTTCTGCAGCCAAAGTGATGGTGAGTCCTACAGAAGTGGATCTCACCCCAGAGTTGATCTTCCAGAGCCAGCCCTTACCTAGTGGACCCTCAGTGCAAATTGGAACTGGAGCCGTAACAGTGGACAGAAGGAACAGCAGTACTAAGTAAGGATATATCTCTGGTTTCTTTGAAGGATTGTTGGCTTTAGGTGTGGGCCCTCTTTCTCTTGGGGCATTGTGAGGGATGTTTGTGGAAAGGATAGGTCCAAAGGCTGCCTTTGTGGGGCTTTTTCTTAGCTTCAGTGTGTCTTGTGTCATGTTGGGGGTGGAAAAAATCCTTTGTGTTGCTCGAGAATCTGAGCGCAGCAAGCTCAGGAGAACCTGGAAGTTGAGAGTATGGAAGAAACTTCCTTTTCTCCTTATCTAGACAAATGGGGTTTTCCCTGAAACCGTAAAGGCAAAGCTTGCAGTCTTGCAGCCAAATTTCTGTTTTCCTGTGTGATTTATGTGCCCAGAGGTAGCCTATATGGTGATTCTCAAAAGCAGAGAAGCAGTGAAACCCATAAGCTTACCAGAAGATATGCATTTAAAGCCACTTTATGGTGTGACTTCTGTAATACTATAAATGGGACAATCTGGCAACACGGATGGAGGTGAGGGGAGAGCAGTTGGCGTCCTGTTTCTGAAGGAGAAGAGCAGGAAGCTCAGTCCAGTGGAATGCAGGTGTGGGGAAAAGGCGTGTTCTGAGTGCTGAAGGGGTTGTTTTCTGAAAGCTGGACCGTCACTGACCACTGACGTTAGTAGTCTTGCAAAGACTAAAAGGTGGAGGAACCTTGAGAAGGTACACGAAGGAGTGGTTTGGAGGCGAACTCGTTCTTTGTGGCGTACGTAAACAGCTTTCCTCCAGGCGCAAATGGCAGAGAGAATCCTTGCAGGTTTTCAGATAACCTGAGGCATTGCAGGACCACAGACTTGCAAGAAGCAAAGAAAGTAAATATAAAAGTGTGGGCAAAGACTTATTTCAAAGTTTGAACGTATGACTTCCATCACAGCATTGCGTTTTTTAGGGCAAAGCTGCAGACAAAAGAGGGGAGATGAGGGAAGATGGTTTGTAGTCAGAGATATAGCAAATGGGAGTTGTGAGTTGAAACAGAAGACAGAGCTGTGGGTGGGAGAGGATTATTTCTTTGCAAGGGAAGCACTTTGGAGATTTTGGGCAGAGGCACCCAACAAGAAGCTGTGTGCGTGTGGGAAGAGGCAGGGTGAGATGGTCTGTGCTGAGTGATGGACAGCTGGGTATCCTTGAGATAACATGAGTGAGATTTAAATTTAGAAGAAAGATAAGACAGCAAATAATATGAAAATGTTCTTGTCACAGAGTGAATGGTCAGAGACAGTGGAGAGCTGCAGCTGTGATGGAAGAGCAGAACCAGGGATGGGCCTGCGCTTGTGAAGGCTACACAGTAAGACTGAGAACCTAGGTCAAGCAGCAGGGAGAGGAGCGGTGGTTTCTGTGCCATAGCCAGAGCAGACCCACAGACCTGCTTCCCTTACTTTAGGAGCCTTTCCCTGTACATCATGTCCTTTTGGCAGGTGCAGCAGTCCTCTCCCAAGCTCAGGCTCTTTTCCCAGATATTTCCTTAAGTTCTTGTCTTTAGGGCTGTTGTTTTGCCTGCAGCTAATCCCAGGCTTTGTGTGTGCCAGGTGTGAGGAGCTCCTTCCTGGTGTTCTTGACACAGTGTCTTTCTGGAGGAGCGTGCCTGGTCCTTTAAAGTCTTAGTGCGATCAGAGTTGTCTTAAAGATCTTGACCTGCCTTAAGCTGAGATAAATTGCTGCTTTTAACCTAAAATCTGCTACCTGACATGTTGAATTGGTCTTGAGCAATGCTCTAACAGCCTCCTGGCATTTGAGGTAGTAAGGTAGGGATTGCCAGCATGGAGAAGGAGGGGGGAGACATGAGACTGGAGTGCTTCCAGAGTGTGAGAAGAAAGAGAAAGTAGTAGTTTAGCTGTAGGCTAGTCCTTAGACCTCTCTTGTCTCGATCCTCTCTAATACAGAGATGTTTGGGTGAGAGAGGGGTTTGTCTGCATGAGTGGAGACTGCACCACGGTTGTGGGCGCTTCAGTTAGAAGCGCTGCAAGTTTCATTGGGAGCAGCACCATGGTCCTCAAGTGAAAATGGTGCTTGAGAGGGAAAACATTTAGCCAGGAGAAAAGGGAGAAGGGCGAGAATCTGAGTTTGCAGGGGGAGGAAACTGTACCTAATATTTTCAGCTGGGACTATGGAGAGATAAGAGGTTTCTTGCAGTTGTGGATGGCTCTGGTTAGAGCAACAACGTGTGCCCTCAGCGCGTATGAGGAGCTCTGTGCCCAAGCCTTGGTTTGCCTGGCTGTTCTGGCAGCTTGCGGCTCTGTGGAACGATGCAGCCTCACCTTGTTCGTTTCTCATTGCAGGAGCAAGTCCCATTCCGAAATTAGCTTGGAGGGGTTTTATGAGACAAAGCCGCTTTCTCCTGTGCAGAAAGACCCCGTGGAGCTGCTGCTTCTGGATACAAAAGAACGTCTGTCTGTGGAGCTGCAGGACCGCCGTGCCCCTCTCGCGACCATGGAGAGCCTCTCGGACAATGAATCCATCTACAGCTTTGATTCAAGGCGCTCCTCTGGTTTTCGGAGCATCCGGGGCTCCCCCAGCCTCCATGCTGTCATGGAGAAGGATGAGACGCACTGCTTTTATATAGACCCTGTGATCCCCGAGGAGAATCCCTCCCTCAGCTCGCGGACAGAGCTGTTGGCTGCTGATAGCCTCTCCAAGCACTCCCAGGAGACTCAAGCCCCTGACAATGTGCTCAACAGCGGTGGCACTACCCCCCAGCGACGCTGCAGTGAGGAAGGAGCCAGCAGTGAGGGGGACCGCGTTTCCTTAGCCCCTCGTGAAGAGCTGTCCCTCCAGAATGGACGGCTCACTGATGTTCCCAGTCCCCAGGTGCTGGAGTTTGCTGAGTTCATAGACAGCCTCTTTAATTTGGATAGCAAAAGCAGCTCCTTCCAGGACATCTACTGCATGATGGTGTCAGACAGCTCCAGTGACTTTGCAGAGATGCCCAAGTCTGTCAGTGATCAGGAGATCCTGTTGAGGGCACAATATGAACCCAATCTAGTCCCAAAGCCCCCGAGGTTGTTTGCAGGCTCAACAGATCCTTCGTCGGGCATCTCCGTCTCACCCTCTTTCCCCCTTAGTTCATCTGGAGAACTCATGGACATCACTCCCACGGGTGTGAGCAGCCAGGAGTGCCTGGCCACTGACAAAATCCGGACTTCTACCCCCTCTGGGCATGTAACCAGCCCAGCCAAGCAGGACGACCTCATGATTTCAGCCCTCTAGTGCAGGATAAAGGGGTACGGCTCTGAGAGCTGATCCTGTGGGCTGAGTGCTGGGATAATACTTGGAGGAGGTGGTCATTGGGCAGTTCGGATTGGAGGAGATGGTTGGAAACATTCCTTCTGGGGTGATGTGGTGGTGGCACACTGGAGGATGGATTGTGCTCGAGTGCCGTGCTTGCAGCTGAGAGAAGAAGCGTTGCCTCCCAAGGCCTGCTACACGAAGAGGGTCTGAGTCACTGCAGGTAGATGCCAGTTCCCTACCTCAGCCTGTCTTGTTTCATTTCAGAGGCAGATTCCTTGCCGCAGGGCACCTGCTGAGTTTGGGAGTGAGATACCCTGCTTCAGGGAATCCTCTGGGGTGGATTCTCTGAAGCTCAAGGACTGGATAGAGAGAGAAGCAAGAGGGCCAGGGCAGATCACCCCCCTGGTACCGTGTCAGTGGTTTTGGAAATGAGCGGATTGAGACTTTGGGCCCTATTGCACTACCATGTCGGATCTGGCCCAAGATCCAATTCGTCACACTTCCATGGGGATTGCTTTTGTAGGACACTCTCCTGTTTTAAAGCCATTGGGGCTGTATTCTCCCCAAATGCAGTCTCCCCTCCCCTGGCCAGGTGCAGCAAGATCGGGGCTGGCACTGTGCTTTCTCTCTCCTGAGTACTTCTGTGTTCAGTGACCACCAGGCTGCCTCTGAGAGGGAAGGACACTGTTCCGAAGAGCCAAAGCCCTCTGCCACGTCCCTCCTTTGCCAGTAAGAGTTCTCCTGGATGTCACCATCATCACTTCTCAGTTCCCTGGACCGGTCTGAGCTGGCGACATTCCTGCAGGACTGACAGGATTCTCATCTCGGAGCTGCGTGGATGGATCAACTTCAAAATCTAACAGGCTTCTCAACACCCAGCATTGTTTGCCCAAACCCTGCAGAGCCTGGGAGCTTCTCCTGGACTCTGCTGGGTCCTCACACTGCCCGTACGCAGTAATGGCAGATCAGTGCCAGCCTCTGTCATTGGCAGTTCAGGGAAAAGATGAACTTTTACCACGTATTGAAATATCTTGTATGTTTACAGAGCTGCTAAGCTTTTTGGAAGGTATTTATTAAGCAAGCGGGGAGGCTTTCCCTAAGCAAAAAGCATGTTCATTCTCTCCTTCCTGTGCTGTTCCCTCTGGGGACTGAGGGGAGAGAGGATGGGCAGCTTTGATTGCAAGTCCCCTGCTTTTCAAGTGGATCGGAGTCTGGGGGAAGCTGCGTGCATCCCTTGCCCACCCTCCCTCGTCCGTGTCTCAGTTGCACAACACCGCATTGCAAAGCTTGACCAAGTCGCTAGTAAAACTACCTGAGCGCTGCTGTGCAGAGCCTCAGTGCCCGGAGGAGCCTGCTAGACCTATCCAGGCAGGCGCTTTCCGATGATGGGAGCGGGAGAGAAACTACCTATCTAGAAAGTTAAACATACTGTGACCTGTAGAAGGCCTTTAATTGACAAAACGCCTTCATATCAAAGCCCAGCAGAGTTTACCAATCAGTCTCACTGGAGCTCTCTCCTCCCTCACTGGAAAAGAAATTCCTGTTTCTGCTTCCTTATGATCACAGAGATGTTATTGCCTTCCTTTCCACTCTTTAGCTGCGATATTTCCATTGTGGGAGGATGCAGTGCTTCCCAGGAGCTTAGCTCATGACACATCCCTGGGCTCCTGTTATCCCTAGCCGCTAGCTGTGTTCATGGAGTAGTTTCTGGAAGCTCCAGGCATGGGTCAGGGCTGTGCAAACAGAGCCTGAGTGGTATCAAATGCCATCGAGTCAGAACAGGAGCATTTTATAGCCAGTGTGCGTTGATGTAAATGACTTCAGGCGCACAGAAGATCCGTGTCCGAGTGCCGATCTCCCACTCAACAATTAAGCGTGATATACCATGTCCCCTGCTCCTTACAAATTACAGGGCCTTTAGAAGTGCAGGGACTTTGTTAAACAGGCAGTAAAATATTGTCCCTGTGGTTTAGGTTCCAAAGGTGACCTTTTCTATACTGTCTTGAATTGGAGGGAAGAAGCCCCTCAGAATTCAAAATCATTTGTAAAAGAAAAATGCTTTTATTCTGAGCAACGAGAAGTTACTTTTTTTCATTGCAAGTCCTTCAGAAAAGAGCAGCGGTGTTCCCCTTGCTGAGAGCTTGTATGGTTCAGGATCTCTTGTAGAACAACTGTGTAAGGGCCATCAGCTCATCCGCTATTGCGGACCACAGGGTAAGGCTGAATTGCTGCACACACCCAAGAAACATTAAAAAGGTGGTGTCCAGGAATACGCACAATAAACTGGGTAGTTTTGAGGGGGAGAGGGGAGCTGAGGTGTAGGGAGGCTGAGGCTAGCAGGCTAGCTTGCCTCCTGATGCAGACTGCTGGCACGTGTTGATAGAGCGGGGGGGAAAAGGAGTTCATTTCTGCCTTTGCTTGTTGGGCGGAAGATGGGTAGTAATAACACTTAGCACTTAGGCAGAGCTTTATATCTGCAAAGCACTTTACAAACGCGAATGAAAGAATCATCTCTGTCCCTGGCAGTGAGGTGTTGGGAGATGGCTGTCTCTGAGACTAGGTGGAACTACTGGTGCCCTACCCAAGGGTGGTGGGGAGATGACTCAAGGTGAGGAAGGTGGATTATCTCCCTCTTAAGGTAAAAATTGTTTGGGTAGTGACCTGATGTTTAATGGGTTTTGGTATTGCACTAAAGTCACTTCTGAGCTGGGCATACCTCTGCTGTGTCCTGGAAGATGCAATCGTCGTGTGTGACACTTTCCTTCTCTGTGCCATTGGAACTGTGTCCTGGGGGAACGGGGTTACCTTCCCCTGACCGGCTGTAGCAGGAAACAGCCTGGTATGCTGTGGTTTTGGTTTTTTTGCTCTCTGATTATTAGACTTCTGAAAAACCTGGAAATACCTAATGCTCGTGAACTGGGCTTGCTGTAGACCAAGGCAGTAAAGATGCAAAAGAGCTCTTTGAGTTTAGTTCTTGTTGTATCACATTATGGGTGATTCCTGTTCTCCATTGTTCTCTCTTGATAAACAGATCTGTTCTGAGTCCTCGCAAAGTAAATCCACGTTCTTTGCGTTATTTCTGCTTTAAATGTCTCTCTGTGTCTTGATTCTCATAGCTCCTTTGCTGTAAAAGCATTTGGACAGGCTGATCTCCCGTTTCATCCTGGAAGAGCATGTCTGGAAAGTTAAATGCTAAGCCTGTAGCTACCTCCTCCGTTTGTGCTGCGCACTATTGCCTGCTTTCTCTGCCCTCGCTCCGCTCTGACGTGCAGCTGTCTTTGGAAACACAAAGCATCTTCAGATTTCTTAATCTCTTGGCTTCTGGTTCCTACTCTTGAGCTTTGTACCTTCTAATCTTTATATATTCCCTTAATGTTTGAATGGGGTGTCCCACCCCACATGGAGGCAGATCCTTAAAATCCCCTCTAAGAGCTTTTCGGTAGAGGAGCGGAGCCAAGGCCATGCAGTTCCTGAAAAGCAGCCAGTGGGCTTTGCGCACCTCGAAATTAAAGCGCGGTAAGTGAAACCCTCTACACCGAGGTGGCTTTGCCAAAGAGCCTAGCCAGGTTCTTGGCCCTCTCCGCCATCCCTCGGTGCGGCAGATTTCAGCTGACTCTGTAACTGGCACTTGCTGTCGCATGCTTGTTCGTGATATTCGCAGCAGACTAGTGGGATGTAATCCTGAAGGCCCGAGAGCTTCGGGGCAGTGTTGGAGGCCCTTAACCAGGTGTGTGTTAAACTCCATCCAACAGCTTGCTTAGGAGCAGTCTCTGACCCTGCTGCGGATGCGCTCACAAGGTGCAAAGGGTTTGATACTGTTGTCCATTTTTGGGTGTATCCAAAGTGGAATAAAATAATCCCGCTGATAATATCCCAGGGGGTTTTGATCGTCAAGCCTTTAGCACATAATGTTGGCTGGCTGTAGTTCTGGAGGCTCTTCTGCGTCAGTAATAATCACTTTTATTGTTGCTTTAATTGCAGCAGTGCCAAGAATTTAGACAGGATCCTGCTGTGCTGAGTGCGTACAAGTGTGGAACAGAAAGCAAGCCCTTCTCCAACACCTACGGTCACCCCTCTCCTCCTCTGGGGAGCTGCCCTCTCCCTTTGGAACAGGCCATTTTCTCCTAACACTGCCGCTTTCTAACCTTTCCTCTTTTCTTTGCTCCCTGTTCCCGTCACCTAACCAAGAGCCACCTTATCTCTCTTCCTGGTTGCTCTGTCTCAGGATGATGGTGTCTTAGTCCACGTCCTCGATAGCACCACTTCGGCGTGGGAAAGCTATTCCCCGTGATCTCACGATGACCCAAACCAGTTGATTGGGATTCCTGTCTTGATTCGCTTGTGAGAGCAGTTAAGGCTATCTAGAAAGGTCAAAGCGCTGTCAACACCAAGAGGTTCTTTAGCTATCTCTAGCTTTTGCTTACCTGGTCTGTGGTCAGTATTTTCAGTTTTCATTCATGATTTCTGCAGTTGAAGAACTAGTTTCAAAGAAAACAGGAGTTGTATAAGAGATTTTGCTCTCTGCAGAGGACTGAGATGGCGAAGCTGTCGTGAGTGTAGATATACAAACCCAGTGACTCCCATTTCCGTACTTTTAGGGCATTCTTGCTTAGAGTGCAACAGTAATCCCAAACAGGATTTAGGTGGGAAGGAGGTTTTGCTGTCAACGAACAAGGGCACGTAAGAAGGAAAAGCACCGTGCGTGGGGATACCAGATCGGTGGGTGCTCCTTGGAGGGAGTCTGGCTCGCTGCCGTGTCCTTTCTCAGAAGAAACAGAACAGGGCTGATCCGTATCAAGCGCAGCAAACTGGATGAATATGGCTTTACTTTTTCAAATATCTCCCAATAAGGTTTCCCTCTACTCAGTTTGTAATCCGGGCCTAATTAAGAGGGGGTTTTAAACCTTCCCTTAATATCTTAAGTGATTTTTGTTTCTTTATCAAGCATATCTGAGTTTTTACTGCTCTGGATTAACGTG